CTGCAGGGCTGGCTTTACCTCTTGTGGCTGGGTGGGCTGCCATGGGAGTCCAGGAAGAGAGAGGTGGTCATTTTGGGGGCAGGACAATAGAATGGAGAAGGGGGAGACTGGAACTGGTTTGTATTTCGATCCCACAAGGGACGGCCTTCACTGCATTATTCTCATGCTGCCTTCCCAGGGGTGTGGGAACGCTGGTCCACCCCCAGCACCCAAAGGCACCCTCGGCAGAGCCTGTTCCCAGCCGGGGCTGAGGTGCAGCCCGTGCGGTGTGTGATGCCATGGGATGGAAACGGGTGCAGGCAGGCGACGCCTGTGTGGGCCACGGGGTCTACGCGGCAAGCGCGGCTTCTGCATTCAGGTCAGGGACTGGAGGTCCCAAGCCAAGCCAGCCCTCTGCGTGCTGCGGGTGACCGACACTGTGGCCACAGGGGCCGCAGGGGAGAGGCGCGAACGCGAGAGAACCGGCCGGGCCACCAGAAGCTCTGTTTTCTGAGCAGCAGGTGGCTTTCCCCACGCCTCAGACGCAGCCGCACTTGGCGTGTGTATTTGGCCCTGGCCACTGCCCTTCCAAAAGGCCTTGCGGGGCTGGGAAAGACAGTGGGGCTGAATGGAGCAGTCATGGATGGGCTTTCGTTCCTGGGGCCCAAGGGTGCCTGGACGACAGAACAGCAGCCAAAGGTGAGAACGGCTCCACCATGAAGAGGCGCTCCAGCGCCTCAGCCTGTTTAGCTCTGAGGGGAGGAGTGAGGGGAGACTCGAGAAAGGCGCACAAAGTGAAGCCTGGAGAGGAGGAAGTGGGGAGGGAAATCTTTTTTCTCTCTCTGTCACGTCAGAAAAGCAAAGGAGACGTCCCTTGAAGCTGGGAAGTGGGAGACTCAGGGCAGAGGAAGCGAAGCCTCTTCACACAGCACTCAGGTTAAACCGTGGAACTTCCCGCCACAATATGTTGTGATCGTGACCCCATATGGGGTGGCTTTAAAAGGGGATTCAGCCAATTCATGGAAGTGAAGGCCGGCGATGGCTGCTAGTCGCAGTGGGTACATATTAACTGCTGGGCTGGGCTGGCCTGCCAAGCCCCCAACCTCCAGAGACAAATAGCAGCCAAATATTTAAAGCACTACTAGAATGAAAGACACCAACACACAAGATGGCAGATTATGTTATTGCCTGGGACTTTGTCACCCACAGTCCAGGGAGATCAGGTCAGTCTGCAGCACTCCCTCCCGTTTTATCCCCACAACGCTGCTGTGCAGTAGGACAGGAGTGGCCACCCTAACGAGCCTCACGGTGGGCCAACCCAGCCCCCCTCCCTGGCCATGACCACTGCCTCGGGGGCTCTCTCTTTCCCTTGGCAAGGGCTGTGCCTTCAGCAGGTGCTTTGGGGTCTGGGGTGTTTGTGCTGGGACTGCTATGAAGCTGCCAGATTCTTCTTGGCCCCTGCCCTGGCCTTGTTTGGAGACCCCTGAAATCAGCAGCCATGGATGCTGAAGCACTGAGGGCCTTGCTTGAGCAGAGGGAGCAGTCCAACTGGTTGTCGGCAGGGGAGGGGGGACCTGCTGGGAGCCGTCTGGGGGACTACACTGCCCGAGATGCGATGGGAGCAGGAGAGGAGCCCTGCTGCGCCGTCCAGCAAACATTACATTATAACATTAAATTAAAATGTTTGTAAAGTACAAACATTAAGTTAAAATGCAAAAAATAACAATATAAAATAACTACTAGCAACAGGTTAATTAACCTGCACTGGACTGGGGAGACTCGGGTTCTAGCCCTCCCTCAGCATGAAGCTTGCTGGGTAGCTTTGAGCTGGTCATTGATTTTTAGCCTTGCCTACCTCACAAGATTACTGTGACAGGCAGTGTGGCCTACTGCTTAGAGTGCTGGACTGGACCCAGGAAATCCAGTGGCTGGTCTGCACTCCCAGCGTGAGAGCAGATTGGAGTCCTTGCAAGAAGGAACAACCAGGATATATCAAGCTCGAATTACTTGCGATGTGGGTTGCAGGGCTGTTCCCTGCCATGGCGCAAACATTTTGGGGTGGACGGCCACACACAGGCAATGCCGGCCCCCTTGCCGTCCGCCACCCCTGCACCTGGAGGGGCTGCACCTTGCTGAGACTGGGATCCACATCCAGGGAACCCGCCTGGACTCTCCCTGGAGATGCGCTTTAGGGGGGTCATTGCGATGCACTTTCGGACTGACAGCAGGGCGTGGGCTCGGCAGATGAGGGACCTATTTAAATGCTCTTGGCACGGAGGTCAGGGCGCTCAGCGCTTGCGAGTGCGCTCCTCTTTGGCCAGCTCCAGGCTTGGCGGAGGGCCTCCAGGAAGAGCACCTGCTGTCTGGCCAGGGGCGTGCGTGCAGCGAGCAGCTGAGAAGATGTGGCTCTGTTCCCCCACCCAGCAAAATAAGAAGAATGGAAGATTTTTTTCATTAAGTTCTGGTTAAAGCTGCTGGAAGCTTTGCAGATTAAACATTAAATCGCATTTTGACAGAAAATGTCAAGTCCTGAAGGTCAGATGTGCTTTTTTGAGCAGATTTGGAGAAGAAAAGGATACAAAAATAGCTAATAATTTATTTTGAGGATGTGGTGATTAGGCAGAGGATTCTCAGAGCCGTTTCTCAACTGTCTTTTTGCATGGCATGCTCAGTTTCCAACATTTCTGGTTCAGACAACCCATACTCAGTGATTGGGTATAGATTGAGTGTGGGTTGTCACTGAACCATTGGTTATTGTTCAAACATGGGTTATTGTTGTTATGTGTACCCAGCTAAGATAAGAAACCCTGCTGAACCATCCAGCAAGAAACCATAGGTTCTTTCCCCAGGTTGTTTATGCACAACAAGCCAGGGCTTGATAGCACAGCAGGGTTCAGACAACCCACAACAACCCAGAAAGAAAAACTTCCAAGGAAAAGGTGGAGCTCTGTGGATGGACATGCGTGTATCTCACACAGCTGAGGGTAGGCAGCAGCACTGGGGAGCCAGGGAAGCTCATGCGGACCAGGGCGGGCTTTCTGATTGCCTGATCTGAGCCCCATGTAGGCCTTACAGATCACTTGGATTCTGCCCTGGAAAGCAGGAAAGGAGGTGGCTGCAGCCCAGCCCTAAGCCAGCCCGGCAACCTGCAGCAGAGTGCAGTGCTACGTGGGATCGCCTGCAGCTCCTGCATCGCACCTGAAGGCAGCCCCACGCAGAGCGCGCTGCAAAGCCCAACGGGGACCCACCCGAGGCATGCTTGGTCCAGGCCAGATCATGCTTCTCTCGGAATGGGTGCAGTTGCGCACTGCCCTCGGCTGCACCAACGCAGTTCGGAGCACCACCAACGCAGGGCTGAGCCCAAGAAGGTGCCCAGGCCTGGACCCGTCCACCCAGCATGGCTTGGATTCGTTTCTGGCTCTGCCCTTTGACAGACCAGGAGAATCTCTGCCTCGCTTGGATCCTGCTTCAGCGCGTCTGCATTCAATCCCCGGTAAAATAGGAGCAGGCCTTGCTGGCTAGGAATGATGGGAGTTGCCATCGCACACATCTAGAGGGCCCTGGGCTGGGGAAGGCAGCAGTGGGGAGTACTTGCCTGCTGGGGCCAGGTCAGCAGAAGGCGCTTCTGATCTTTTCCATTCTTGTACCCCACGGATGCCTTTTCCCAGCTGCCCAGTTGGTGCCCCTCCAGTCCCCCATGCCTTTCCCTTGCTCTCCTGCTCCTCAAGTGCCGCCGCCTCTGCCTGTCCGGCTCCTCGCCAGCCCGGTGGGCGCCCGCCCGCCCGCCCGCCCGCCCATCCTTCCTTCCTCCCTGTAGCTCGCTGCCCCCAGCCATATGCTCTGTTCCCCATTGCACCGCTCTGCTGTCTGCCAACGCTTGCCGTGGAAGCAGGCGGCACGGCTGCCACTTTGCGCCTGCGGTGCGTGGGCACGCACAGCTCGGCACTGGCGAGCCGGCAGAAGCTGGCTTCCGGTGGGAGCGTGTCTCTGCTGGCGGGGGTGCCCGTGCCAGGCACAGGGAGGGCTGAGGAGGGCCTGGCGGACGCCACGGGCAGCAGGGGCCCTCCGGTGCCCGGCAGCACGCTGGTTCTGTATGCGGCAGGCCCAGGTTCAATACCGGCCACAGGGAGCCCGCACGGCGGGGCTGGAATGGACCCCTGCCAGCAAGACCGGACTGGTCTTCCCCAGCCTGCTGCCCTCCAGAGCAGCTTCACCTTCATGCCCAGGAGTCAGGAATCCTGGAGCTTTGCCGCCCGGGACACCTGGGGGTGCCAGGCCAGGAGCAGCTGGAGCAGAGCAGCCTCTGAGGAGCTCCCTGCTTTGGCCTGCAGCACCTCACTGGCCGCACCCCAGAAGCCCTGCTTGGCTCCACACCAAGCTCAGTTCCCTCTCAGTTGGCAGCCACTTACCTGCTGCTCGTTCACCCTGCCCTTTCTGCAAATGCATCCATGGCGCGCATTACCATTTACGAAACACAGAGGAAAAACCAAATCGTGATAAGCCTGCAGTGCCGAAAGGCATCCTTGAAAAACATGGCAATAAGAGAAGCGATGCCCGTGCTGAGAGACCAGCTTAAACACCAAAGGCTTGCCTGACTAGAACATCGCTGCTTCGGGCAGAAGGATGGTGGAGGATATCAGCCAACCCTCTCTCAGCAGGGAGCTGCAGGGGCCGGGGCAGCCACTGAGAAGGCCCTTCTGCTCCACACAGGAGTGTTCCCTCCCATCCCGCCCCACACCTGGGACTTGAACCCCAGAGGGCTAGAGGGGGCAGTGGTCCCATCCTGTTATCAGGCGGCTTTGTAAGTTCAAAGCTGATTATTTCCGTCCCAACGGGAGGTGGGAGAGGGCCCCACGCTCTTCCCCAGGTACGCCAGGCTCCTCCAAGAGGTGGGTTGGCACCACCCTTCTGCCTTTTGGGAAACAGCTGCAGCAGAACGCGTGTCCGGCAGGCAGCGCTGCCACGCGGGAAAGCGTGCTTCCTGAGCACTCCTGATCTGACAGCCCCTTCTTCTCTTCCAGAAATGCCTCATCTTTGGGCATCAGGCCTGCTGGCCTGTGAGCCCCATGGGGGGATCTGCCCCCGCCCCTGACGCGCCCTGGATGGCCCCGGCTGGCCTGGAGGATGCCTTTACCTTCCACCTCCCTCCTGGCGCGTCCACATCATCCTTGCCCGGCCCCAGTGGCTGCTGACCTCGCCCTCCACCATGCATGATGAGCAGGCCCTGGACAAGAACGCGGTGGCCTGGCTGGTCTGCGCGGGCCTCTCCGTCCTGGCCAACACCTGGGGCATCCTCAGCGTGAGCGCCAAGCAGAAGAAGTGGAAGCCACTGGAGTTCCTGCTCTGTGCGCTGGCTGGGACCCACATCCTGAACATCGCCGTCCCCATCACTATGTACTCGGTCATCCAGCTCCGCCGGCAGCACTCTGACTACGAGTGGAACGAGGGGCTCTGCAAGGTCTTCGTCTCCACCTTCTACACCCTGACCCTCGTCACCTGCTTCTCGGTCACCTCGCTCTCCTATCACCGGATGTGGATGGTCCGCTGGCCTGTCAACTACAGGTCAGTCCCTCCCCCGCAGGGCCCTGCAGGGGGGCCGCTTCTCCCTCCCTGGGCAGATCCTGGAAACACCCTGGGGGGCAGCAGGGGGCTCCTGAGGGTGCAGGCCTCCAGGAGGGGGCTGTGAGGGAGGGGTGGGGAAGCTAAGCCACAGACAGGTGCCCTGTGAGGGAGGGGATCCCCCAGCAGCCCACTCCCAGATCCCAAGCCTGCCCCCCACCAGCACAGCGGTGCTGCGCGTGTCCACAGCCTGGAGTCCCTCGCGTGCTGAAGGGATCGAGGAAGGAAACGAGAAAGGGCCTCGGCTCGGGGATGGAGACGTCGCTTTGTCTGCCAAGGGCCCCGGGCTTGGGCCCGGCCTCTCCCGGCAGGGCTACCAGCAGCTCCTCTGATCCCCAGGCAGGCGCTGCTGCCAGCCTGTGTTGGCAAGCTGGGCCAGGGGGGCCCAGCCAGGGCACGCTTCAGTCGTTCCTATCCTGTGTACCAGGACCCGGCACAGTGGGAAAAGCACGCGCCACATGGACTGGCACAGAGGAGGGCTCCTGTTCTGCCTCCACACGAGTTGCTGCTCCGCTCGGGGGGGTGGCTGGTTTGGCCCGTCTCTGCAGGTGCTGGAGTGGCAGGCCCGAGTTCAGCTTGAGCAGGGATGCTTTGAGTTCAGCTGTCCTGCCTGCTGGCGGGCCTGGGGAGCCAAGGGAAGGCGGGGGGGGGGCAACTCATGCCAGACCCATCCTCTCCCCCAGCATCCACCCAACCCCGGCCGAGGCAGCGGGCCAAGCCCGCCTTCCCAGGAATGCTGCAGTCTTCCGGGGGACCCATCGGCTGTGTGCTGCAGCGAGCGAGGAGAGCTGGCGCCACTCCCACCCACGGGCGGGTCTCATTCCCTGCCTCCCCCACAGGCTGAGCAACACCAAGAAGCAGGCGGTCCACACGGTGATGGGCATCTGGATGGTGTCCTTCATCCTGTCCACGCTGCCCGCAGTGGGCTGGCACGACACCACGGAGCGCTTCTACGCTGCTGACTGCCGGTTCATCGTCACCGAGATCGGCCTGGGCTTCGGCGTCTGCTTCCTGCTGCTCATCAGTGGGAGCATCGTCATGGGCGTGGTCTGCGTGGGCATCGCCCTCTTCCAGACGCTCTCCGTCCAGATGGGCAGCGGCGTCGACAGGAACAAGTTCAACGTTCCCACCATCATCGTGGAGGACGCCCAGGGCAAGCGCCGCTCCTCCATCGACGGCTCTGAGCCCGTCAAGACCTCCCTGCAGATCACCTGCTTGGTCACGGGCATCGTCTTCCTGTACGACTTCCTGATGGGCTTCCCCACGCTGGTAAGCCCAGCCGTGATCGCGAGGGCGTGGGCAAGGCCACCGGGCAGTCCTCCTGGCGTCCAGGGGTGTGCCAGGCCTGCCAGGGCTCTGGAGGTGGCTGAGGCGTTCTGCTGCTGGCCGCAAGCCTGGGCTTTCCCAGAAAGTGGTGCCTCAAGCGTGGGAATTCGTGCGCCCCTCCCCGGAGACCTGAAGTGCGCCCAGCTTGCCACGCTAGCCAGGGCGCTGAGCTCTGGCAGCCAGGCACTCCAAGGCACCCCAGTGGCCCAGGCACTGGGAGGGGATCTTTGCTGCCCATTGTTTGTGCAAGGCCCCCCTGGTCCATTCCCTCTGAAAGCAGCCTGCCTGCCAAGGTTAGATTCCAGTTCCAGACGTCCCACAGGCTCCCTTCCCAGGACCTCTTCGCGCCCCGCTAAACATAGCAGCCACTTCCGGTGGGCTGGAGATAAAAACAGCACCTCGGGGCCTGTGCCCTGGTGAGCAAGCCGACTCTCCGTCCCTGCCACGTAGCCCCCCAAGGCCGGTCTCTTCCCTGTGGCATTGGCCAAGCCGAGGACTGCGCCACAGTGTGGCCCAGCTGTGCTAAATCGCACCTTCCCTTTGAAGTATTTATTCCAGAGTTTTCCAAGCTTCTGATGCATGTTTAATGAGGGGGGTGGATTGTTTTGTTTTGTTTTTTCCTTTTGTCTTTGCACTCCTGGGCCCAAGCGACAGCAGGGCACCAGGCTGTCATAAGTACAGGTTAGGTGACAAGTGGCTTGAGAGCAGCACTTGTGAAAGGGATCTCGGGGTACTCGATGACTGTAGGCTGAACATGAGTCAGCCCTGTGATGCGGTGGTCAAGAGGGCGAACGCCACCCTTGGTTGCATAGCCAGAAGTGTGGCTTCTAGATCGAGAGAGGTATTACTACCACTCTATACAACTCTGGTGTGCCTGCAACTGGAGTATTGTGTTCAGTTCTGGGCCCCTCATTACAGGATGGATATAGCCAGGTTAGAGTCAGTGCAGCGCAGGGCCACAAGGTTGGTGGCCGGTTTGCAGGGGATGCCGTATGAGGCGAGACTGAGGGAACTGGGTCTCTTCAGCCTGGAGAAGAGGAGACTCAGAGGGGATCTGTTGGAGACATACAGCTATGTGAGGGGATGTCACACGGAGGTGGGGAGAGACCTGTTCTCCCCTGCAGAGGAAGGCAGGACGTGCTCCAATGGAGCAAAGGTTCCATTTGGATGCCAGGAAGCACTTTCTGACAGTTAGGACCCCGAGGGTGTGGAGTGGGCTTCCACGAGAGGCCGTTGAGGCCCCATCGGTGAGGGTGTTCAAAGATAGGCTGGACATGCACATGGTGGGCATGTCGTGAGCGGAGCTGGCTGGAGCTGGAAGACCCCGTCTGACTCACTCTGTTTCTGTGTTTCTGTGTTCGCATGGGTGCTTGGTGGCATCTCCCCTGCTCCCCCTGCCCAGGGGCAGTGGAAGCGCACGTGGGCGGCCCCTGCACCAGCCCGCCGTAGCACATGCTGCTTCCTCAGCCAGTGCTTCTGAGACAAAGCCATTGCTCATGTTTTGACAGTGGGGCAGAGGAATCAGTATAACAGGCATCCCCTCATTTTGACAGCAGGGTGCAGTGGTGAGAGCATTGGACTGGGACTCAGGAGATCCAAAGTTGATGGCTGGGCAGAGACGCAAGCCCAGCTCTCTCAAGCCCCGGTCCCACCCGCTGGTGCCTCCAAATGCAATGTTAGTGCACCTGATGCTCTCGCACATGGGTCTGTACAACATGCAGGAAGTGAAGTCAAGAGACGCAGGTGCTCAGCTTCCTTCCCCTGCTTCTCCAGGCATAACATGTACTGTGCTAAGGAAGGCCCAGTGCTCTGATTCCCAGGTGGCTGCCAGAGAGCTGAGTGCCTCAAACCATGGATCAGGCCAGAATCCAGCTCTCCTGCGCTTGCGGGATGCCCTTCCTGCACCTGGACCGTGCCAGAAGGGAGCAGAATTAAGCGCAAGTCCACGAACATTCAGGAATACTGCTGGATCTTTTGGGCAAAGCTTGCACACCCCTGGTGTGGAGGCAGAGCTCAGCCGGGGCAAGAGGGCACAGGGATGGGTGCTCGCAGGGGGCTCATGGCCTCTCCTCTTGATGGATGTCCACGCAGATGATGATGATGATGATGATGATGATGATGATGATTACATTTCTATGCCGCCCCTTGCCGAAACCTTGGGGCGGCTTACAACGCAATAAAATACATTGAAATACAATAGAACATAATAAATTACCATTAAATACAAAAATACAAAAAATACACTGAGTTACAAATATAAAATTAAAATTATCAGTATAAAATAAGTAAATAAAAATATAGGAGGAGAAAAGAGAAGGAAGAGGAAGTTGCCCTGGCCAGATCATATGTTTTAACAATTAAAATGATGTTTAAATAAAAAGGTCTTTACCTGGCACCGAAAAACCAGTAACGACGGTGCCAGGCGGACCTCTTTGGGGAGTGAATTCCATAGGTTGGGTGCCACCGCAGAGAAAGCCCTCCTCCGAGTACTTACTCTCCTAATTTCTTTCATGGAGGGTTCCCGGAGAAGGGACTCTCCCGCAGATCTCAAAGGGCGGTCGGGCATATACGGACGTAAGCGCTTGTTCAGGTAGCCAGGACCCAAGCCGTTTAGGGCTTTATAGGTCATAATCAACACCTTGAATTGGGCCCGGGCTTCAATGGGAAGCCAGTGAAGCTGACGGAGGACTGGAGTCATGTGAGCATAACGCCCCGTCCCCGTCAGCAACCTGGCAGCTCTATTTTGCACCAATTGAAGTGTTCGGACTGTCTTCAGGGGAAGCCCCACGTAAAGCGCGTTACAGAAGTCTAGGCAGGAAGTCACCAGCGCGTGTGTCACCGTCGCCAGGCAGTCGTACTCCAGGTAGGGGCGCAGCTGATTAATCAGCCGAAGCTGAAGGAAGGCGCTCCTCGCCACCGCTGTCACCTGAGCTTCCAAAGAAAGCTCCGGGTCGAGGAGTACTCCTAAGCTGCGGACCTTGTCCCTAAGAGGGAGTGTTGCACCATTCAGGACCAGGTCAAATCCACCCTCTCCGAAACCCGATCCGCCAACCAACAGGACCTCCGTCTTGTCTGGGTTGAGTTTCAGATGCTTGGTGCGCCATGGAAAGGGCAGGCTGGAGTCTCCAGAACCGAGCTGCGGACGCCCCATGGGCAGCCCGAGCTGCATTCCTCGTGAATTGCTCCTGAGAGCCAGGGTCAGGTTTGGACATTTCGGGCCATGCCGCTTCTTGGCCTCGTTGCCGCTCCGCTGGAGCCCCCGCATGGCCTTGCCTGCAGGACTGTCCCCAGGAGGCAGTGGGAGAGCGGCAGGGGCTGTTTGCAGAAGACAGAGGGGAGGCAGCAGGAGGGGCTCACAAGGAACAGGAAGGGGAGAGGAAAGGCGGCAGGCGGGTGGGCATTTGCACTAAAATCGCCCTCAGTTGGGCCTGGCTGGTTCCTCCCAGCCAATTCCCCTGGCGCTTGGCCAGCCCAGCATTCGGCACATTTTGGCTGCTGGGAAGGTGGGGTTGGTGGGGAGGAGGGGCTGCAGCCTGGTCCCAGCCTGGCCTCGAGGTGAGCGCAGAAAGCACTGCCAAGACCCCCTGGATGCACTAGCCTCAAAAGGGTGGTCGGCCACAAGGGGGAGGCTGTGCCACAGAAATGGACAACCAAGGAATTTTGGCCAGTGACCCCTCTGTTGTGAAGAGATCTCACCTCTGTCCTCTGAAATTTTCCACCGGTTGCCAGGATTCTCCCTACATCAAAGCTGGCGCTGGTTGTTTTGGGAGCCGCACTCCACCTGCCCAAGCAGGCCTTCGTTCGCTTCAGTGGGTGCGCTCCAGGCCAGCCCAGGAGCGAGGCCCTGTGGGCGCATCCACGTTTCATTGCTTCATCCCCTGAAATGGATCTTGCTCCAGGGTGAGAGAGAGGAGGAGGGAAAAGGTGTGACTTGAGCAAGGCCAGCTAGTGAGTTGGCGTTGTTTGGACTTGAAATTAAGCCAGGCTCAGGTTGCCTGAGTGAACAGGTGGCCTTCCAGTGGCCTTCCCTCCGCCCAGCGAGAAAGTGGCTGTCTGGTGCCACTGAGCCATGTGGCTACCGTGGCCACCACTCTGGAAGCCCAGAGGTTTTCGCCACAAGGCATCTACTGTGAGCTTTGGCCACGGAGTCGTCCTCAAGGCCCCTCCTGTGCTTTCCGGACATTCCTGTGGGGCTTTTGATCAGGAAATGTGTGGGGTCATTGCCGTGTCCTTGCGCAGCTCCAGAATGCCACAGTGATAGCTCAAGGTTATGTAGCAGAACATGCAGAAAGAAAGAAGGCAAAACCTGGCGGGAGAGGATCTGAACCGAATACCATGAGAAGTCCAGAAGCGGAGCCTCCAGCACATGAGAAGATGTGATTTCCCCGAGAGTCTCTCAGTAGAGATACCCAAATGTTGGGCTGACAGCAGTGGGCACCGACTGGTCCACTCGAGTCTCCCTCAGGTCTCTTCAGCAGCGTTGTCCTTGGGGCTCTCACCCTTTTTCCAAAGACACCCCCCTTTGCCCCCAGGATGTCACATGGATGCCCACTGGACTCACCCTGCCCTCAGCTGTGGCTGCTGCAGAAAGGTGGGGGGGCACCATGCAGGTTGTTGGAGCTGCCTGGCACCAGCGGCTGGGGGAGATGCCCAGCAAGGCCCTCCCCAGAGGGCACCCAAGCCCTCCACGCTTGTGCAGGTGGGGAGGCAGTCCGAGCCTCTGATCAGGATGGAGGCTGGTGTCGGCCCCCCCATGCCTTTGGAGCCTCCCCTTGCAGAATCCCACGCTGGCAGCTCAGATGGCCACCCCCAAAAGGAAAGGGCAAGCAGCGTGATCCTAGAAAGGGAAGTCTGTAACTCCTGGGCTTGTTCCGTGTAGAAAAACGGTGCCTGGAGATGTGACGAAGGGGCCCAGAACCGCACGTGGTGTGGAGGAAGCAGAGAGGGAGCCCGGAAGGGTCTTCCCATGACGCTGCGTACGGGAGATTCGGGACACGAGGCAGAGTTAAACTGCGAAATCCGCCTCCCCAAAACATTGCGATGGCCCCCACTCTGGACATATTCCTGGAGGAGAAGGCAGCTTGTGTGGCTGATCCTGCTGGCTTGGAGCTCCCTCCAGCATCAGGGCAGCATGCATGCGCACCCCAGTTGTGGGAGAACCTGAGCAGAGGGTGTGTTGCCCTCCTGGCCTACTTGTGGGATCTTGTGGGCAGCTGGAAAGCTGCTGCAGCATGAGATCCCGGACAGGATGGACCCCTGACCAGATCCTGGAGCGCTCTTCTGGGGTTTTCATCAAGCTGCTCTCCCAAGGGCATCATTGTGCAGCTCCTTCTTTGAGTCTGCAAGACCAGGTAAATTCTGCACGCTGCCCTCACCACGGCCTCTTGGCCATGGGCAGTGTTCACTCAGCGCCTGGCAGAGAGAGCTGCACTGGACTGTTGAGTGACGTGGCCTACTCATTAATTAGGAGCAAATTAAGTTAGCTTGGATCTGGCTGGCTGTGGGGGTGGTGGTGGAACACTGACCGAAAGGAGGGAAGGGGCGTTGCTGGCCTGGGTCCAACTGACTGGTCCCCGCCTCCACCCCGGCTGCAGCCTGCCAGCCCCCAGTGAAATCCAGAGACATTCAAAATTGGGCAGCCTTGTAAGAGGAGTGCCAGCCAGCCAGCCAGCCAGCCAAAGATCAGGCACTCCAGGCGGGGCAAAGACCTGCAGCAGGAAGTCTTGGCCAGAATGGGATCTCAGAGCTTCATCTTGATTCCCAGCAGTGGGAGTGGGGCCAGGTCCTTACTTTCTGGCTAAAGAGAATAATAGAACAATGCGATAGTGATATCTGGACCCTCACATAGTTTCTCCTTATACTGGAACTGAGAGTAACCTCTTTGGGCAGGTGCTTTTCGCGCGTTTGTGCGCGTGTGTGTGTGTGTGTGTTGTCCCGGAGAGGTTCTCTACATCACTGGCTCTGTCCAAACAGTATTTTTTCCTTCAGTGTCCCCTTCCTTTGGGTTTAACCTTCACAGCGAGACGTTAAAAGCCAGTGTGGTGTCATGGTTAAAGGGCTGTGTTTGGACTTGGAAGTCCCGGGTTCTGGTCCCCTCTTAGCTGAGAGACTGACAGGGTGACTAATTCTCGGCCTGACCTCCCTCACGGGGACGTCGTGGGGATAAACTGCCACCTGGCCAGAGGGCGTGGGAAGTGGCGCCAGGCCAGGCCAGGCACTGGGGTGGAGGGTGCCCGGGCTTGTTTGAGCAACAGCAACTGCGCAGGCAGGTCCGTGCATGCCCCCACCGTGCAGCCCCTCCTCGCTGCTGTCTGCACTGCCGTTTCCTTGCCAGGCCTGGCTGCCGATTTAATTCACTCGCTGGGCTGGCCAGGAGCTCCCCCAGCCCCCTCTTCCGGGCCCCAGGGGCTGGGCGCCTCCCCCCCTTCCCATGTAATGCTCACAGAGAACTGTGCGGCTGCTGAAGGCAGCAACTCTGTGAGAAGCAGCGGCAACTGGAACGGTGACGGCTGCCCCTCCGCATCCCCCGTTCAGGGCACGGGCACACTGCCGCCCAGACCCAGACCCAGACCCAGACCCGGGCGGGCCGAGCTTCTGCAGGGTGCCTCGGGCGCCCCATTCCTGGGTGCGGGGCACAGCAGGGAGGCCGTGTGCTCCCCCGCCCACCGCTCGCGGTGTGCCACCTGCAGGTGGTGAGCGTGGCCAGCCTGAAATCGGACACGGCCTACCGCTGGATGGTCCTGTGCGTGCTCTGGTGCTCCGTTGTGCAGTCGCTCCTGCTGCCGCTCTTCCTCTGGGCCTGCGACCGCTACCGGGCCGACCTCCGGTCCGTCTGGGAGAAGTGTCTCGCCATCATGTCCAACGATGACGCGGGGGAAGGTGAGTCCCTGCGCGAGCCCCTGCTCGGCCCTCGCCCGAGTTGCAGCTTTGCTCCCGCATGGTGGCTGCTCCGCGCCGGCACAGGCTGCTCCGGTCGACTCGCTCGGGGCCTTCTGCAGCGAATTCAGCAGCTGAACGCGCCTTGGTGAAGCGCTGGGAGAACCGGGAGGCACCCCGAGGGGATGAGTGGGGGGGCAGTTCAGGACAGGCCAGAGGGAGCCCTTCTTCACGCAGTGCAGAGGGAAACTGAGGAATTCACTCCCACGAGATCTCATGAGGGCCACCAGTCTGGGATCCTGTACAGAGGATGGGGCCAGTTCTTGGAGGAGAAGGCCACCCATGCCTGCTAGTCCTGATAGCCACAGGCTAACTCAGGTCTCAGAGGCAGGATGCTGGGGAACGTGGGCCGGACGGGGCTGCTGCACACCAGCTCTGCTTGTGTCTTTTCCTTTGGGGCAGCTGGTCGGTTGCTGGCCGAGACAAACCCTGGCCAGGCCTGGTCCGGGAGGGCTATTTCAGTGCTCCCCTGACTGGCTGCTTATTCCTTGGCTGTCAGAATCACAAAAGCCTTTCCCAAAAGCTTTCCCTTTCCTCCCGCCCCCTCTTTGCTCTCGCTTGAGCCAGTGGGAGGACGGGAACAGGAGGGTGGGTTGATCGAACAGCTGATTGAGGGTCCAGAACCCCCAGAAGGTCTCCCCCACTCCGACTGGCTCCGGACTTGGCGATGCTTGGAGCGCGCCCCCGAAATCCGTGGGATCTGATGACCTCGAGCCCTCCGAACCGGGCCCCCCCGGCCCTCCTGTGCCCTGCACGAGCAGAGCCCCAGTGGCAGCGGGCCAGGCTCCCGTCGGGCACTCACCATTCCTCCTGCAGGGGCTGCGGGGAAGCTGGGGCTGGATGAGCCCCCAGGGCAGCCTGTGCCTCCAGACGCAGCCAGCCCTTGCGGGCCTCCAAGGCAGGCATGTACCAGCTGAGGAAGGGGCTTGGGGGGTGGGCTCCACATGCCCCTTCCGCATGGCCATGAACCTAGCCCTGCCATCTGACCAAAACTCTTGGCAACCGAGTCCTTCCCACCGAGTCCTTTCTGTGTCTCCCCCCACCCCACCCCCACCCGGGCATCCTAGAAAGCAACCTGGCCGGGGCGATGCACACCGACCTGATGTACGAGCAGAGCTACGATTGCACCTTTGCGGGGGACGTCTTGAGCCTGGACCACGTGGCCAAATATGATCTGCCAGTGCTGGAGAGGGGGCTCCCCCAAGCGTACCCCGCAAAGCCCCAACCGGAGGACAGGATGCAATACCTCCAGGTGAGCCGGTCGGGACAGGAGTGAAGGGGAAGGGGCAGAAGCGGAGTGGGCCGATCTGGGTTCGGAGGGAGGGCAGGAGCCGGGCCCCCGCGTGCCTGCATGCGGTCTCTGGGCAGGAGCAGAGGTGCAGGAGGGGCGGGGTGGGGGGGCTGGGGAGCTGGGCAATGGCTTCGCTGCAGTTCGCAGTCGTGCAAAATGTAGCACTGGAGGTGCCTGTCAGGGGTGGAGAGAAGTGCTCATCTTTATTTTAGTGTTTGGCATGTATTTCCAGGGAGTCTACAGTCTTTTATACACAGTAGATCGGGGTCCTCAAACGTTTTAACCAGGGGGCCAGTGGAAAGGTGCTGGCGCTGGGCGTGGGCCGGAAAGGTGGTGCCAGCGGTGCATGTGGGCCGGTGCGCTGAGGCGGGGGCAGGGCGCGCGGCGCGAGGCAGCAGCTTGCTCGCTTTGAGATCGTTTCTCTGTGTGAGCAAACTGCCGCCTCCCATGAACACGGCAGGCCGGATCCAGCCCCAGGCCGTAGTTGAGGACCCATGCGGTAGATGTTCTGGCGAGGGCAGTGGCTAGTCAGTTTTCGTGCCTGTGCATCACGGGGCAAACAGGCTTAGCACCGGCTGGCAAGCCATGTTCTTGCTGAAGTCCGTTCATCCGAGACTTTTCTCCGCCGATCCTCTGCCGAGGGCATCCAGACAGATCCAGTGCCGTGCTTGCAGGTTTCCCACCGAGGAGTGGTGGTCCTTCTTCCTCTACTCAGGGATGGTGTGCTTTCGAGCGGCTGGGTGGGCAGAAGCCGGGGCAGAAGACGGGAGCTCTCTCCATCCCGTGAGGCTGGGCTCCGACCCCTGGAGTGCCGACCATTTCTGGCTGGCAGTCCCGCGCCCCTCAGTGCCCAAAGGTGCAGTTGAAGGGTGCAAGTCACTACAAGGTTAGACTGGAAAAAGCCTGCGAGTCCCAGCATGGCCCAGTGGGGATTTTCAGTGGTCGCCAAGAAGTTTGTTTTCTGTCCTTCCTGAATTGGTTTTCCATGGTTGGGAGCTCTTTAGACAGAGGTCTCGCTTGCTTGTTTCAGTAAGAAAAACGATGTGGGCACAGCAATCCAAGGTCAGCATGCAGAGAAGTTTAGCCCCCTCCCCCACAGCCCACTGGATTCCTCCTGTGCCGGGATGATGGTCCTGGTGCGGGAAGGGGCCGGCAAGGTACCATCCACCAAAGAATCCCAGTGCTGCTGAGGTGACTCATTCCAAGGAGGTGGGAAACCTTTGGACTGCCAAAATCAGCCTTGGAGAGCCTGGCCCCTCCTTCTGGCCTGTCTTGCATTGGGGGCCCATTCAGGGGGTTACAGGCAGCCACATCCGATGGCGGCTCCTGCTGAATGTGCTGATCCGTTGCTTTGCCTGGTTTTCCTGCTTCCTCACCCACCAGCACCTTCCAAAATCAGGCCGGGCCTCTGGGCAAGTAGGAGAGAGGGCAGTATTTGCACGAGGGTGACCACAGCCCCGTGCACGGCATCGCTTCTTCTGCAAGTTGTGGGGGTGGGCAAGGAAGTGCCTGGGCCGCTCGGGGATGCCCTGCAGTTTGGCCCTGCGAATCAGCCCAACGGTCTCTCTGGGCCCCGAGGATGCAGCGGCCTGCCCTCCTTCAGCCAGGCCTTTGCAGCCAAGAGAGCCAGAAATGGAAGCTGAGATCTGCAGGAAGCCAGATTTCTGGCCCAGCTCTACAGAGTTTCTTTGCAGAAACATTGGTTGGGTTTCTGATGCTCCCTACTTGTCATGGCCAAATTAAAATTTAGTTTTTTAAAAAATCACATTTATTTTAGCAAAAGCATTTCTTGCAGCCAGGACACCGTCCCAAGCATGTTTAGGTGGGGAAATGACCAGCAGCTCCCGGTATTCCCAGCCAGTATGTCGAGTTGGGGAAATGTGGGAATTGCCAGTCTGTTTTCAACTGACGATCCTTCGGCCGGTGCTCTCAAAAGGTGATGGTTCCAACCTTCGGGGGGGGGGGGGTCAAGTCAGGCCATATACTGCACTGCACTGAATATGGCCCAGTTAACTCTGACACATTTTAGGAAAGAGCACTGGTCAAGCAGACCGACCCTGAAACTCCCTTCTCTGGTTCCTTGCTGTGTCTGTATTTCTCTTCTCCATTTCTCGGTTTCCTTGAGGATAACGCCTGCAGGCTTTCTCTCGGGGAGAGGAAAACAGCATCCTGCTTCAGCCCTTGTGACACTGGCTGGCTGGATTCTCCCACATCTGCTTTCGGTTTTCCTGGACTGCTCTGCACAAAAGCGCCCTGAGCTAATTTGCAGGCCAGATTTTTGACAGGCACGAGTCCAAGGGACCAAAACCCTGGGCCAGTGTGGGCCTGAGACGTTGCAAGTTTGTGGCCTGCAGTGCCGGTAGTGGGACCGAAAGCCCCATGAGCCTTGCCTGGAGCTGGGAAGACCCCTCTCCGCCTCCAGGCCGGCCATGGGCTGGCCCTGTGTGGGTGGCCTTGGCCTGGCCCCACGCTCAGCCCTCCCTGCCCAAACGAGCCCACGGAAGATGTTTCGTGAGCCGCCCCGAGGCTTCGGCGAATGGGGCGGCATAGACATTTTCTAAATAAATAAAATAAATAAAAGGGGGATGTGGGAGAACCGCATGTGCGGCCGCTGCCGGCCTGGGAGGGGAAGCGGGTGGCAACAGCGTAAGGACTGGGGGGCTGCTCCAGTGTCCCAGGGGCTTGGAACTGTGATCCTGGGAATCCCCTTTTAGTTTATCTGTGTACTTATTTATTCATGGGATGCACATCCCACAAAGAACTCAAAGAACTTACCACACTCTCCTCCTCCCACTCTTCCTCTTGTCCCCACAAGAACAACCCTGTGAATAGGCTGGACTGGGGTCTCTGACTGGCCCAGAGTCACCCAGTCGGCTCCATGGCTGAGCTGAGCGGGGACCAGGGCCCCCGTCACCTGCGGCTCAGTGCAAGGCGGCGGCTGGGGCAGGCGGAACGGCCGGGCCAGGGTGCTGCAGTGAGACCAGGTCCTGCAGCGCAGCAGGGCTGGAGGCTGGTGGCCGGGTCAGCAGTCCAGGGCCAGGGCCAGGGCAGCAGGCGGCCCGGCGTTGCACAGGCGAGGGAGCGAGCACGGCCCAGAGGCAGTCCAGTGGTCCGGTGCCAGGGGAGCACTCGCGGAAAGGTGGCCGGGCAAGAGGGGGCTGGAGCAGGGCAGGAGCGGCTGGGGCGGGGCTGGAACACGCAGGAGCGGGCCGAGGGGCACACAGGATCAAAGCGGGGCACGGCAAGGGCAGAGTGGAGCACACGGCGCAGGGCAGGAGCGGCTGGGGTGGGGCTGGCCGGGGGATCCCCGGGACGACTCGTGCTGGCTCTCATGTCGTTTTTCTGGGCAAGGCTGATAGTCTGTCCCGGGCTGGGAACACCCAGGGCCCTTCTCGGCCAAGGGGGGACTCCAACCGCCACCCGTGCTGGCCGTCCTCTGTCACAGCGGGGAAGCGTCCTGCCTGCACTTGTCGGGGCTCGCAGCCCTGCAGGACGGAACCCTTCATGGCACCGCCGGTTGCAGCCCCGCCAGAGATGTGGGGCGATCCCACCATCATGGGCGTGCAAGGCCTGCAGACGGCAGCTGCACGAGACCCTCTGCCAGACAGCCTGGGGCACACCCCACGGCTGCAGCTGTCGCCCTGGGCCCTCCCAGGATCCCAGCGGGATCTCTCCCCGGCAGCCAGGAGGAACCGGGGCGGAGCACCAAGCCCTGCCGGCCGTTCGCTTGGTACCTGTGTGCTTCGCAGTGTTGCTGCGGTTCTTGCAATCGCTCAGAAGGCACCTGCTCCTCCTGTGGCAGCACGGGGCGGTGGGGGGCTGGGGCTGGGTCTGGGTCTGTGCGAGCCAGCTCAGACCCCAAAGGGCCTGCTCCTGGCTGAGGTGAGGACGGCACAGATGGGGAGGAGGTCCGGGGCAGAGTGGCTGCCTGCGCTGTCCCAGGGAGGGGCTGCAGCCCCAGTCGGTCCCTCCCGGCTGCCCTGACTTTCCCCAGCCCAGGCAGAGCACCTGCCCTCCCTCCTCCCCTTGTTCAGCCAGTGGCTGAGTTGGGCCCTTAGCCAGCGGGGGCTGTGATGATGCTCTCGGCTCTCTGATCCGCTGCAGGTCCCTCCCACCCGGCGCTTCTCCCACGACGAGACCGACATTTGGACAACGGGGCAGATCTCCGCCTACCTGCAGCACTGGGGGGCCGGTGAGGAGATGGCTGCCGGGCTCGCTCAGCTGCTGCTCCCGCACCAGGGGCACGACCGGCGCAGGAGCAGCCTCCTCTCCTTCCAGGAGGACGGGCGCCTGTCCCACAAGCGCCGCAAGTCGGCCGAGAGCACATTGTCCCTCAAGCCCTTCTCCCACGAGGACTTCTGCGAGGAGGGTGGGCACAGATGCTTCAGCAAGGAGGAAGTGGCAAGCTTCGGCGAGGGCTCTGGCCTCACGCCCAGCCCCCGGAAGGCCCCCCTGCGCTCGGCTTCCGTCTCCCTTCTCCCAGACAGCCTCCAGCGCTGCTCGGCCGCCACCCTCACCAGCTTCCCCTTGACCCATTTTGAGCAGGAGCCCCAGGCCCGGCGGAGCTTTGTGGCCCAGGGACAGGTGTGCTCCTTGAGGGTGCCGGGCCCCCTCTTGGCTCGGGAGGATGCCAGGAGCCTCTTCTCCAAGGGGGGCACGGGCACCCCTTGCCTCGAGCAAATCCACATCGAGCTGTGTGAGGCCCCCCTGCCCGAGGGCGGCCGGCCCAGCAGCTGCTGCTCAGAGTCGGAGGGCTTTCGGACAGGCCTGAGTCCCTCCTGGGGGGGCCAGGAGGACCTGCACAAGAATGGCAGCAAAGGCAGCACGAGCAGCTTCCTGAGTTCGCCGTCTGTCTCCTCTGGGTACGTGACGTTCCACTCGGATTCCAGCGGCTCGGCCTCCTAGAGCAGGATCTGCCGAGGGCCCCCGCGTGGGTGGTGCAGTCCTCTCTCAGTGCAGAGGGCAGGGTGCCCTCCTTGTGGCCTGGGATTTATGAAAAGGACTGGGCAAGCACCAAAGAAATCTCTCCCCAGACTCTCATGCCTTTTGTAAAGAAAGCGCGGAGATGCGAGTCGAGGAGCACCCCGCACGCCAGTGCTGTCTCGAAAGGCACACTGGGGGCTGTGCCCCCGCAGCTCGCAGCACTGCCCCCTCGGGTGGAAGCCCCTGCAGAGGGAGGGTGTGTGCCCTGCCTTGGAGATGCTGTGCTCTCTTTTTATTATCTGCACATCCGCCCTGCTACTCTATGAATAGGTGTAAATTGTGCATGATTTTTTGTAGCACGTGAACCTGCGATGTGTCCCGCACAGCGGGCCCCGGTTGCCGAATGCTGGGTGCTGAGGGCTCCCTTCCACAGGATGGGTGGCTGTCAGGATCTCCCCGAGGACCATGGAAAGGGGATCGCAGCCACTCCTGCGTGTCTTCCACTCACCTGCAAGGGCATCGTGCGAGAGCGGGATCGGGATCGGGACTTGCAGAAGAGGGCAGGTTGGTGTGTCCCTGTCTGAGCAAGGAGAGCCACGGAGCCCCGCAAGACGAGGCGTCGGGGGAAGCCAGCCCAGACGGGGCAGAAGAGAGCGCAAGGAGCGAGTCTCTGTGGGCAGGGGGCACTGCCCACTCACCTTGCGGGGGTCCCGCCGCCAGCTCCAAACCCCCTGCCTGGTGGCAAGGCAGAGGATTTTGCAGCAGCCCCCATGCTCTGCCCAGAAGTGGGTCAGCTGCTCCACTGTCCCCCAGGGCTGGTCCATGGCTGTGGTCAGACAGCACCCTGACCCACACCCAAGGCTCGACATATGGCCTGAGTGTGGGTTCTTGTTGAAATGTGAGTTATTGTGCTCTCTGAATCCAGTGTGCTAATAAGCCATAGCATGTTAGCCACAAACAAACCATGAACAGAAACCATGCTTTGTTTTTGGGTTGTGAACTGTGGATAACTCACCAGGGCTTGTTATCTCAGCTAGGCTCAGACCACACATTAACCCACACTTCAACAACCCAGAGTGTGTTGTTTGAATCCAGCACTTGGCTGGCGGAAGACAAAAAGCCCCCCCCCCCATCAGTTTCCCTCTCTCTGAGCCCCCGGCATATCTTACACATAGATGGGCAGCGGGCGACGCCTGCCTTTTCTGTGCCACCCCCATCCTGAAATGGCCGCAGCTTGCCACCCGATTACCATCCAGCCTGGGCAGCACAGAGGGGCGAAGGAAAAGCACAAATGCCGCTCCAAAATTGGCCGCATGGAGTGGCTGCCAGGCCCTGCCGTGCAACTGCCTTTGCTGAACCTCCTGGGACTCAGCCCCGAAACAAGGCGGGCTTCCACGTGGCTTGGTCTGAAGCTCATCCCCATTGCTGCTCTGCTGCCGGAGTTCAGTGGGGGTGCTGTGGGGGTGGGGCAGCCCAGTGGGTTCCCCTGCGCTGGCCCACTGCGGCAAACCGGCCGGGTGCAACGCTGCTGCTGCTTCCAGATCTCCATGCGCATGTGACTCGTAGGAAGCGCCTCCGCAGCAGCCAGCCTTCCGCATCGCATGCTTTCGGCCCGCATGATCCGAAGACTGGGGCATGAGGAATCACCAGCTTCCTGGAATGCTCCCAGGTTGGAGGGGATGCAACAGAGGCAGCACAAGCTGCGGCCAGGGCGGGCGCTCCTGGTCGGGCCTGCTGGGGCACGGGTGCCGAGCTCCTGGCAGCCTCCTCCCTTGGCCTGTGCCCTGCCCTGGCTCATGACTTCACGCCCTGCCGCTGGCTCAGGAGGGCCTCCGGTCACTGTAGACCCTGCCCGGCTGTGCCTGGCCAAGGGGCGCCCCCGAGGGCGCTGAGGCTTGTGCTTCCAGGGGGCTGGTGGCCAGGGAGTGCCGAGCTTCCAGTCCAGCTCCATCTCGCATGCATGCATGACTGAGCAAAGGAGGGCAGCTTTTGCTGAATAGGTGCCCTGGGAGGGGATGGGGCATGTGGAAGGGGGAGGGCAGGGCAGGGGGACAGCCCCAGGCATTTTGACTCCACTGTACTGAATCCAGCAGCCCCCTCCCCTGCAGCACACGCTTCTCCTGCCCTGGCCCCTGTGGAGCTGCCTGGTGCACCGAGAATGGACTCCTCTCTTGGAAATTAGCCTCTTCCCGTAGAATCAGCGTGGACAGTGGTTCTGGACCTTTGGCACAGCCTTCCTGGCTGGGCCTCCCCAGTGTGTGGCACTACAGCTCCCATCATGCCCAGCCAGCAGGGGGCGGCAGCCCAACCGCTCTGGGTGGGACCTGTCTTTGGGGAGGCTGCTTCATCACTCGCAGAGCCGGTAGAGGTGTCGTGCCAACTTGCCCGCGTTCCTTCCACTCTCTCCTTCGAAACTTGCCTGTGCAGAGCCTGCTGCGTCACCCGCTGGCCACGTTCGCTGGCGAGTGTCCGGCTGCAGCCCCACCTTGCAGGCAGAGGCCCACGCCACACACGGGCCGGATCCAGGGGCGCAGCAGAGGGAGGTGGTCGAGGCTGGAGGCGGGAGCAGAGGCAGTGCCGTGTTGCATTGTGGGGGCCCTTTCGGAGGGTCCTCTCTGGTGCAGATCCCCCCGTGCACTCATCAGACGAGCCAGGCAGTGGGACAAATGGCAGGCGTCCCTGCTGTGCTAGTTTTCTACTTTGAGGGAAGGTTGGCAGGTTCTTTCTTTGTTTGTTTAACATAAGGGAAGAGGGCCAAAGGTGACTTTCCCAACCACACCCAGAAGTCTGCTCTCAGGACTGTCTCAGCTCCTTTGGCCAAATAAATCCATCAAGTCCTCAGACTTATTCAGCTTCCTTGCAATCAGTTTGCATCCACCCTTGTTTGGCAGGAACCAAGAGAAATGGCCTAAATCTTGGAATTGCCTTTTTTCCGGAAAAAGCCAGGGCTTGCCTTGCCACCAGGTGGCGCACAGTGGCAAAGCATGCACCATGCCGGGGTGCACAACTTCTGGCCCTCCAGCAGCGGCAGCCTGTTGCTCTCGGCTGCCGTTACCATGGCTCCGCAGACCTTGGGACCAAGGGATGCAGGCTGAAGCCTCTGGAGGGCATCAGTGGCTTGTGCCAGCCGGAGTGGGCTGGCAGGTGGAGGGTCGTGCGAGGCCCCCGCAGCCTTAGAACGATGCAGTGGCCCTTTCCCACATGAAGGTCCACTATTTAGTCCGGCCCCTGCCTCCGCTCTGCAGCTGCCCTGCTGCCTCTGCTGCAGATGTTAATCTGCTGAGACCTAGCTGCCCTCGGATGCTCTTGCCAAAGATGCTCCTGGGAAAGCAGCCTCTCCGGAGCAGGTTGGCTGCGAATGGAGTAGATTTCTGTGCCTTACTCGGATGAAAGGCCAGGGGAGGGAGGTGTTCTCCTGTTCAGATTCACTGGCACATGCTCAAGGGCCGTGAATCCTCTCAGGCTGTGGCACCGTCTTCTGTGGGATTCTCCCCATGGGATTCTCAGCCCAGGCATGAGGAGTGACAGATTTCTGAGAGAACCCCTGAGGCTTGGGAGACCCGGATTCTAGTCCACACTCAGCCACAAAAGCCACTGGGTGACTTTGGGCCAGCCACAGACTCCCAGCCTAGCCTACCTCACAGGGTTGTTGCTGCTGTGAAGATAAAATGGAGCCATGTGAGCTCCCTTGGGTTCCTTGCCAGAGGAAGAGAGGCGGGTACACATGCCATGTCAGCATCATCTTAAATAAGATTCCCTCTATGGAGGGTAGCTCCATTTTAGAGAGTTATCTTATTTAAAAACTGTCTACAGGCCATAAATGTTTCATTATAAATAAAAGGAGAGTGCACATGATAACAGAAATATATCGGGACATCTGTGTGCATAAAGGCACCTCCTGTGCATGTCTAGAGAGCCATGTTGCTTGGAGAATGATGGAAGGGCTAGGACTTTTCTTGTCTACCCCAGCATGCGTGCAGTCATGCCCTAAAAGAGCACCACTCCAATGCAACTTTAATCTGATTTTTAAGAAGGTATTTAAAAAGCATTCCAGCACTCTGGGTAATGTTGATGCAGTGCCCCAAGCGTGACACTGGAACAAGCAGGAGAGGGTGGCCAGATTGGCTGGCTCCATTGCGCCGTAGCCCCAGAGCGCCGTGTCTGTCCGTGCTTTGGTTTCCATGGACTCGTGTGGGTACAGCTTTAAAGTGGCAGCTTCCTCCCCCCCCCCTGCCCCCCGGTTTGGCCTTTCCTGAACCACGCTTCACCCTGTGCACGTGAACGCCTTTGTGGCAGCTTGAGATACCCGAATTCTGTGAAGACCGAGCTCTTGGCAAGAGCTCGCCATAGACTGGCGTGCGGGGCAGTTGCGAAGCACCCCACCCGCTGTGGCAAAATGGCCACAACGAGGGACACGCCGAGATGCGCTTTAGATGGGAAAATGTTTGAATACCCATTTGCATTTTCCAGCAGCTGTGCTGGCAGGAGAGTGTGGGAATCGCTGGACTGCTTTTCCCCATGAGCACGTGCAGGATTGTGCCTTAAGGATAAAGATCGAAATGATACAGTATTGAATATTTCATGGAGCCCTTTGAGGAGAAGGGGGTAGAATGCCTGTCACACAGGGAAGTCCCCAGCCTGGCCTCTACATGCCCAGCGGTGATCCCGGACAGGTCTGCCTGGGAAGGGCATTTCAGAGACGCCTCTTTCCCCGGCACACCCTGAGAAGGGCCTTCCAAGAGGAGCTGCACGCACGGCACGGGCAGGAGGCTGGCGAGGGCCAGTGGAGGAGCCGGAGGCGGCCAAGCGCAGCGGCCCGCATGTTGACCACCGCTGCCTGCCTGTGCCCAGCCCTGTGCCTGCAGATGAGGCGTGCAGGGGCGCACTGGAAGGGCAGGTGCCAGCTGAACAGGGGGCCCGCCGTCCTCCCCGCCGCGCCCGGGGGCTCTCTAAGTCAGGCAGGCAGCCACGCTGTCCGCCTG